TAATGTATTTTTTACCTGTAGACGACAATTGCATTGCAACAAAGACACATTGACCGAACAAAAACTTTATAAAGAGGCATTACTGCATTACTTTGTTTTGCATTACTAGAAAAGTTCATTTAAAAATACTTTTATCGCCTGTATTATAATAAAGGTCAATACCTGAGACCCAAAGTAATTTCGATAATATAAATTATATACCTCAAATTTTGCTCAATAGCTCAGAGCCATTGAAACTTATTTGACTAAAAACAACTGTAGTATTTTTAGGAAGTGCTGCTCTATCGCCAACAGTCTTTAGAATTTTAAAATATGAATTCGTTTTTTTTTAAATCATCTCTAAACCCACTTTTTAGCATATTTTGCTGAATAGCTTTGCCCCCTTTAATTTGTTTTGAATCAAAACAAATTTTGCATGTTCAGAAAGAGCTGCTCTATCATCAACATTCTTTTGATTTTTGAATTTGTTTTTTTTAAATCATCTCTAAACCCACTTTCTACCATAATTTGCTCAATAGCTTTGCCCCCATAAAACTTTTTTCAATCAAAACAACTTTAGTGTCTTCAGAAAGTGCTGTTTTATCATCCACATTCTTTAAATTTTTGAAATATCAATTTGATGTTTTTCAAATCATCTCTAAAACCAATTCTTAGCACATATTGTTCAATCTAGAGAATGTTGATGATAGAGCAGCACGTACTGACACACTACTTTTGTTTTATTTCAAAACAAATCACAGGTGGCAAAGCTATTGAGCAAAATGGACTAAACAGTGGGTTTAGAGATGATTTCAAAAAAATCTAATTCATATTTCAAAATTCTAAAGAACTATAAGCTACTGCCGTTTTTCATAAAAATGAACATACGGTGCACTTTTAAGATGGTGCCTAAACCCTCAAGCCGTAGGAAACACACATTTGCAGTAGTAAACACATATTTGCGTTATTTTTCGACTATATACGATACATATGAAACCGATTTAGAAAAACAAGTTATGTTGCTTGTTCTCTATCGACAGCAGATTCAGAATATGTAATTAGTTTGTTTCTTAAAGGTGTCGATCATGAGGTATTGACGGTGAAAGTCAGAATTTTGATTATAAAGCTATCTTCACTGCAGTGGATATTAGTACACATTCACCAAATAACACTGTTGACATATTGGATCGGCACACAAATATAATGAAATATGTACAGTAAATATGACAGATCACAGATATTACCCTGCTGTGCAGCCAGTTAAATAACACTGTTGACATATTGGATCTGCACACAAATATAATGAAATATGTACAGTAAATATGACAGATCACAGATATTACCCTGCTGTGCAGCCAGTTAAATAACACTGTTGACATATTGGATCTGCACACAAATATAATGAAATATGTACAGTAAATATGACAGATCACAGATATTACCCTGCTGTACAGCCCGTTAAATAACACTGTTGACATATAGGATCTGCACACATATAATGAAATATGTACAGTAAATATGACAGATCACAGATATTACCCTGCTGTACAGCCAGTTAAATAACACTGTTGACATATAGGATCTGCACACATATAATGAAATATGTACTGTAAATATGACAGATCACAGATATTACCCTGCTGTACAGCCAGTTAAATAACACTGTTGACATATAGGATCTGCACACATATAATGAAATATGTACTGTAAATATGACAGATCACAGATATTACCCTGCTGTACAGCGCGTTGTCATCGGTTTTTGCCCCGCAAATGACACATTGCAGACAATGAGGTTGTCAAAGTTCTAAGGTTTTGTAAATATTCTACAGTTCATGAGAAAAGGACACATGTTTTAAGTTGTTGTCAATGCATTGCAGTCAATAAGAAAGCAAAACATCACAATCTAAGACATTTTTTAAAATGCATTGCAGTTAAATAATTAATGACAACATCACAAAGTACAGTCAAGTGAAACCATAAGTACAACCAGTAACACCTCATTTTAAGGTCTTGTATTAAAGTCTAAATATAGAGCTAATATAGACACTCTACATTTACACTGTAACAAGTATAGTAACAGGGGGTAACAGTGTTACAGTGTAAATATAGAGCTAATATAGACACTCTACATTTACACTGTATAGTTACAGGGGGTAACAGTGTTACAGTGTAAATATAGAGCTAATATAGACACTCTACATTTACACTGTAACAAGTATAGTTACAGGGGGTAACAGTGTTACAGTGTAAACATAGAGCTAATATAGACACTCTATATTTACACTGTAACAAGTATAGTAACAGGGGGTAACAGTCATCTCATCTTCAACCGCTTATCCGGGGTCGGGTCGCGGGGGTAGCAGCTCTAGCAGGGGACCCCAAACTTCCCTTTCCCGGGCAACATTAGCCAGCTCTGACTGGGGAATCCCGAGGCGCTCCCAGGCCAGTGTGGAGATATAATCTCTCCACCTAGTCCTGGGTCTTCCCCGAGGTCTCCTCCCAGCTGGACGTGCCTGGAACACCTCTCTAGGGAGGCGCCCAGGTGGCATTCGTACAAGATGCCCGAACCACCTCAACTGATACCTTTCTACGCAAAGGAGCAGCGGCTCTACTCTGAGTTCCTCTCGGAAAACCCATTTCGGCCGCTTGTACCCGCGATCTCGTTCTTTCGGTCATGACCTAGCTTTCATGACCATAGGTGAGGGTAGGAACAAAGATTGACCGGTAGATCGAGAGCTTTGCCTTTCGGCTCAGCTCTCTTTTCGTCACAACGGTGCGGTGAAGCGAATGCAACACCGGCCCCGCTGCTCCGATCCTCCGACCAATCTCCCGCTCCATTGTTCCCTCACTCGCGAACAAGACCCCGAGGTACTTGAACTCCTTCACTTGGAGTAAGGACTCATTCCCTACCCGGAGTAGGCACTCCACCGGTTTCCTGCTGAAGTCATGGCCTCAGATTTAGAGGTGCTAACCCTCATCCCAGCCGCTTCACACTCGGCTGCGAACCGATCCAGTGAGTGCTGAAGGTCACCGACCGATGAGGCCATCAGGACCACATCATCCGCAAAAAGCAGTGATGTGACCATCAGCCCACCGAACGGGAACCACTCCCCCCCATGACTACGCCTTGATATCCTGTCCATGAATATTACAAACAGGATTGGTGATAAAGCGCAGCCCTGGCGGAGGCCAACCCCCACCGGGAACGAATCCGACTTACTGCCGAGGACACGGACACAGCTCATGCTTTGAGCGTACAGAGATTGGATGGCCCTGAGAAGAGACCCCCTCACCCCATACTCCCGCAGCACCTCCCACAAAAAATCCCGGGGTACCCGGTCATACGCCTTCTCCAGATCCACAAAACACATGTAGACTGGATGGGCATACTCCCAGGCCCCCTCCAGGATCCTTGCGAGAGTAAAGAGCTGGTCCGTGGTTCCCCGGCCAGGACGAAAACCACATTGTTCCTCTTCAATCTGAGGTTCGACTATTGGCCGAACCCTCCTTTCCAGCACTTTGGAGTACACTTTACCAGGGAGGCTGAGGAGTGTGATACCTCTGTAATTGGCACACACTCTCTGGTCCCCCTTTTTGAAGAGGGGAACCACCACCCCGGTCTGCCACTGCTCTGGCACTGTCCCAGACTTCCATGCAATGTTGAAGAGGCGTGTCAACCAAGACAGCCCTTCCCCACCCAAAGCTTTTAGCATTTCTGGACGAATCTCATCAGTCCCTGGGGCTTTGCCACTGTGGAGTTGTTTGACTACCTCAGCGACTTCCCCCAGGGAAACTGACGATGACCCTCCATCAGCCTCCAGCTCTGCCTCTATACTAGAGGGCGTGTAGGTCGGATTCAGGAGCTCCTCAAAATGCTCTTTCCAGCGCCCGATCACATCATCAGTTGAGGTCAACTGTGTCCCATCCTTACTGTACACAGCTTGGATGGTTCCCCGTTTTCCCCTTCTGAGGTGCCGAACGGTTTTCCAGAAGCATTTTGGTGCCGACCGAAAGTCCTTCTCCATAGCTTCTCCAAACTTCTCCCACACCCGCTGCTTTGCCTCTGACACGGCAGCGGCTGCAGCCCTTCAGGCCTGCCGGTACCCTGCAACTGCCTCCGGAGTCCCCAGGGATAGCATATGGGACAGCTTCCCTGACCACCGTGGTCCACCACGGTGTTCTAGGGTTACAACCCCTTGAAGCACCTAGGACCTTGAGACCACAGCTCACCGCCGCAGCTTCAGCAATAGAAGCTTTGAACATTGCCCACTCAGGTTCAATGCCCCCAACCTCCACAGGGATGCCTGAAAAGCTCCGCCGGAGGTGTGAGTTGAAGATATTTCGGACAGGGGCCTCCTCCAGACGTTCCCAGTTCACCCGCACTACCCATTTGGGCTTACCTGGTCTGTCCAAAGTCTTTCCCCACCCTCTGATCCAACTCACTACCAGATGGTGATCAGTTGACAGCTCTGCCCCTCTCTTCACCCGAGTGTCCAAAACATGCGGCCTTAGATCAGCCGATACGATCACAAAATCGATCATTGACCTTCGGCCTAGGGTGCTCTGGTACCATGTACACTTATGCGCCTCCTTATGTTCGAACATGGTGTTTGTTATAGACAATCCATGACTAGCACAGAAGTCCAATAACAAACGACCGCTCGGATTTAGATCAGGGAGGCCGTTCCTCCCAATCACGCCTCTCCAGGTGTCTCCATCGATGCCCACATGTGCGTTGAAGTCTCTCAGCAGAATGATGGAGTCCCCTACTGGAGCCCTATATAGGACTCCCTTCAGGGTCTCCAAGAAGGCTGAATACTCCGAACTGCTGTTTGGTGCATAAGCACAAACAACAGTCAGAGTTTCCCCCCCACCACCCTTAGGCGTAGGGAGGCAACCCTCTCATCCACCGGGGTAAACTCCAACACCGCCGTGCTCAGACGTGGGCTCGTGGGAACGAAGAGTACAGTTGACATTAACAGGACCGGAGTCACAAATAACAAGGCGTCTCGTTTCTCGTCTCCTTTGGCCTAGGGGTATGATTCTCGCTTTGGGTGCGAGAGGTCCGGGGTTCAGATCCCGGACGAGCCCCCATGTTACGTTTCCACCTCAGTTGGAGCTCGTTGGAGGAGAGGAGAAACGAGACGCCTTGTTTCTGTCGTATTGTCTGTTGAAGACTTTGGTTATTTGTGACTCCGGTCCTGTTAATGTCAACTGTACTCTTCGTTCCGGAGAAGGGGTAGGTAGTTCTGCCCATGGGTGTACATCTGCATCACGTAGGTAATCTCTGTTATATACCCTATGTTAGCTGGGCGGGTGTCACCCCTGTAGTTTTGTTAACAGAGAGGTAAGCCTGTTAGGGTATGGACTGTGTTAGGTAGGGAGAGGTGTGTAGTAGAGAAGGGACCCTTTTGTTTAATTTCATTACTTTGACCCCGGCCCCAAAATTCCCTTCTCCTCCCTTCCTTAATTGTGGGTATGGATTCCCAGTGGTTGTCTGTATGTACTTGTGTTGTGAGTGTTATCCTTTTGCACTACTAAACGTCCCTGAAGGACAAAATTTGAGTTCTGGTTGTCGTCTCTTATTATTTCTTGTCAGTGCACCCCACACTCCTTCACCGTCCATATCGGTATACATTTGGGTGAACAAGCACAGGCGTTGCGTTCCCCCACCTCCAACGAGCTCCAACTGAGGTGGAAACGTAACAATTATACACACATTATATACATCACATATACATTATACACCCATTATATACATCACATATACATTATACACACATTATATACATCACATATACATTATACACACATTATATACATCACATATACATTAAACACACATTATATACATCACATATACATTATACACACATTATATACATCACATATACATTATACACACATTATATACATCATATATACATTAAACACACATTATATACATCACAGTTCCATAATTAACACCCTCTCAATTAGTGCAAACTGCAAAACAACATATTGTTGCTAAATGCTACCATGTTAACAGTGTTAAAGCCATCACTAATATGTACACACCTCCTCTAATAGCCATCACTAATATGTACACACCTCCTCTAATAGCCATCACTAATATGTACACACCTCCTCTAATAGCCATCACTAATATGTACACACCTCCTCTAATAGCCATCACTAATATGTACACACCTCCTCTAATAGCCATCACTAATATGTACACACCTCCTCTAATAGCCTTCACTAATATATGTACACACCTCCTCTAATAGCCATCACTAATATGTACACACCTCCTCTATTAGCAATCAGTAATATGTACACACCTCCTCTATTAGCCATCAGTAATATGTACACACCTCCTCTAATAGCCATCACTAATATATGTACACACCTCCTCCGATAGCCATCTCTAATATGTACACACCTCCTCTAATAGCCATTACAAATATATACACACCTCCTCTATTAGTCATAACTAATATGTACACACCTCCTCTAATAGCCATCACTAATATATACACACCTCCTCTAATAGCCATCACTAATATGTACACACCTCCTCTAATAGCCATCACTAATATGTACACACCTCCTCTATTAGCCATCACTAATATGTACACACCTCCTCTAATAGCCATCACTAATATGTACACACCTCCTCTAATAGCCATCACTAATATGTACACACCTCCTCTAATAGCCATCACTAATATGTACACACCTCCTCTATTAGCCATCACTAATATATACACACCTCCTCTAATAGCCATCACTAATATGTACACACCTCCTCTAATAGCCATCACTAATATGTACACACCTCCTCTAATAGCCATCACTAATATGTACACACCTCCTCTAATAGCCATCACTAATATGTACACACCTCCTCTAATAGCCATCACTAATATGTACACAACTCCTCTAATAGCCATCACTAATATATACACACCTCCTCTAATAGCCATCACTAATATGTACACACCTCCTCTAATGGCCATCACTAATATGTACACACCTCCTCTATTAGCCATCACTAATATGTACACACCTCCTCTAATGGCCATCACTAATATGTACACACCTCCTCTATTAGCCATCAGTAATATGTACACACCTTCTCTAATAGCCATCACTAATATGTACACACCTCCTCTAGTAGCCATCACTAATATGTACACACCTCCTCTAATAGCCATCACTAATGTGTACACACCTCCTCTAATAGCCATCACTAATATGTACACACCTCCTCTAATAGCCATCACTAATATATACACACCTCCTCTAATAGCCATCACTAATATGTACACACCTCCTCTAATAGCCATCACTAATATATACACACCTCCTCTAATAGCCATCTCTAATATGTACACACCTCCTCTAATAGCCATCTCTAATATGTACACACCTCCTCTAATAGCCATCACTAATATGTACACACCTCCTCTATTAGCCATCAGTAATATGTACACACCTCTAATAGCCATCACTAATATATTTACACACCTCCTCTGATAGCCATCACTAATATGTACACACCTCCTCTAATAGCCATCACTAATATGTACACACCTCCTCTAATAGCCATCACTAATATGTACACACCTCCTCTAATAGCCATCACTAATATGTACACACCTCCTCTAATAGCCATCACTAATATGTACACACCTCCTCTAATAGCCATCACTAATATATACACACCTCCTCTAATAGCCATCACTAATATGTACACACCTCCTCTAGTAGCCATCACTAATATGTACATACCTCCTCTAATAGCCATCACTAATATGTACACACCTCCTCTAATAGCCATCACTAATATGTACACACATCCTCTAATAGCCATCACTAATATATACACACCTCCTCTAATAGCCATCACTAATATGTACATACCTCCTCTAATAGCCATCACTAATATGTACACACCTCCTCTAATAGCCATCACTAATATATTTACACACCTCCTCTGATAGCCATCACTAATATGTACACACCTCCTCTAATAGCCATCACTAATATGTACACACCTCCTCTAATAGCCATCACTAATATGTACACACCTCCTCTAATAGCCATCACTAATATGTACACACCTCCTCTAATAGCCATCACTAATATGTACACACCTCCTCTAATAGCCATCACTAATATATACACACCTCCTCTAATAGCCATCACTAATATGTACACACCTCCTCTAGTAGCCATCACTAATATTTACATACCTCCTCTAATAGCCATCACTAATATGTACACACCTCCTCTATTAGCCATCACTAATATGTACCCACCTCCTCTAATAGCCATCACTCATATGTACACACCTCCTCTAATAGCCATCACTCATATGTACACACCTCCTCTAATAGCCATCACTAATATATACACACCTCCTCTAATAGCCATCACTTATTTGTACACACCTCCTCTATTAGCCATCACTAATATGTACCCACCTCCTCTAATAGCCATCACTTATTTGTACACACCTCCTCTATTAGCCATCACTAATATATACACACCTCCTCTAATAGCCATCACTAATATGTACACACCTCCTCTAATATCATCACTAATATGTACACACCTCCTCTAATAGCCATCACTAATATGTACACACCTCCTCTAATAGCCATCACTAATATGTACACACCTCCTCTAATATCCATCACTAATATGTACACACCTCCTCTAATAGCCATCACTAATATGTACACACCTCCTCCGATAGCCATCACTAATATGTACACACCTCCTCTATTAGCCATCACTAATATGTACACACCTCCTCTATTAGCCATCACTAATATATACACACCTCCTCTAATAGCCATCACTAATATGTACACACCTCCTCTAATATCCATCACTAATATATACACACCTCCTCTAATAGCCATCACTAATATGTACACACCTCCTCTAGTAGCCATCACTAATATGTACACACCTCCTCTAATAGCCATCACTACTATGTACACACCTCCTCTAATAGCCATCACTAATATGTACACACCTCCTCTATTAGCCATCACTAATATGTACACACCTCCTCTAATAGCCATCACTAATATATACACACCTCCTCTAATAGCCATCACTAATATGTACACACCTCCTCTAATAGCCATCACTAATATGTACACACCTCCTCTAATAGCCATCACTAATATGTACACACCTCCTCTAATAGCCATCACTAATATGTACCCACCTCCTCTAATAGCCATCAATAATATGTACACACCTCCTCTAATAGCCATCACTAATATGTACACACCTCCTCTAATAGCCATCACTAATATGTACCCACCTCCTCTAATAGCCATCACTAATATATACACACCTCCTCTAATAGCCATCACTAATATGTACATACCTCCTCTAGTAGCCATCACTAATATGTACACACCTCCTCTAATAGCCATCACTAATATGTACATACCTCCTCTATTAGCCATCACTAATATATACACACCTCCTCTAATAGCCATCACTAATATGTACACACCTCCTCTAATAGCCATCACTAATATGTACACACCTCCTCTAATAGCCATCACTAATATGTACACACCTCCTCTATTAGCCATCACTAATATGTACACACCTCCTCTAATAGCCATCACTAATATGTACACACCTCCTCTAATAGCCATCACTAATATGTACACACCTCCTCTAGTAGCCATCACTAATATGTACACACCTCCTCTATTAGCCATCACTAATATATACACACCTCCTCTAATAGCCATCACTAATATGTACACACCTCCTCTAATAGCCATCACTAATATGTACACACCTCCTCTAATAGCCATCACTAATATGTACACACCTCCTCTAATAGCCATCACTAATATGTACACACCTCCTCTAATAGCCATCACTAATATGTACACACCTCCTCTATTAGCCATCACTAATATATACACACCTCCTCTAATAGCCATCACTAATATGTACACACCTCCTCTAATAGCCATCACTAATATGTACACACCTCCTCTAATAGCATCACTAATATGTACACACCTCCTCTAATAGCCATCACTAATATGTACACACCTCTT